GCCCTTTGCTATCAGCCTGACAACAAGGGGCACTAGAAGTCAGCATCCTGAAGGGCTGGCATCCATAATTCATCAGACATCCTCAGCATCAGCAAAAACACATCAGTATCTTTATCCACCCTATCCCAAGCATGTGCATTGACTGCCCCTTTGGACATCCAAAGGCCTAGGGGCCAGGCACCAGTAGTTCTCAGGTTTACCTATAGAGACAAGGTCCAAGGAACACCACTGCAGCCACCCTGTGTGGCAAACCACCCGAACTCACAGAGAGGAAGGGCAGTCTAAACAAGAAACCAGAAAAATCAGATAAGCAATTGCCTTCCCTGCCTTCTCGAGTTCCTGTTTTTTACTTTGTAGTTTACAAAACCATGTTTGCAGTTGATTCTTACGAAAGCCCTAGTAGGTAAATAACGGAGCCCCACTGTTAAATCCCCCCATCTTACAGGTGAGAAAACTGAGGCCCAGACGGGGCAAAAGTGGGCCAAGCTCACCAAGGTAGTTGAGGATAGCCTGGACCTGGAATGCCAGGTGGAATTTCCTCTCACCTGAGGTTCATTCCACTACAGAGAAGTAAAAAGACAATAACAACATAGATGGTGAGATCCCAAAAACATGAAGAGAAGTGTCATGGGACTCAGATACTCTCACCGTGGAGGACCCTGGTCACAAGTTACCAGAAGCTGACATCTGTGGATGGTTCTGTTGACCTTTGCTGCCACCAAGTGGCGATTCTGCAGTTCCTCAGCTGAGAGACCCTTTGAGTGGCTGATTTTTTCTTTTCTGTAGTGCTGCAGGAGGGAACAGAGAAATCAAGGAAGACAATCCCAAAGGGGAAAGGAAAATAATCTAAGGATATTTTCCCCACTGGGATTTAAGCTAAGAATGGCAATTAATCTGTATGCCAGCTCTGCAGGCTGGTGGTGGCCACCCAGGGCCCTACACTGGGGATTCTCAAGTGGCATTTAGCGCATCAGGAAAAGGCTCTCTGACTGATTAGGGATGCCTGTTGTCGGCACAGAAGTGACAGTGATGTCATGGATCCATGCCACAGGACAGCCAAAGAGCAGTGGCCTTCCCATGTGATTCTAGCAAGAGGGAAATTCAGAATAATGAAACCATCCTGGAAACTAGACTGTGGACAAAACATTTTATTATGTTTTGTTCTCCATGTGACAAAAAGGCCCGGAGAATGTCCATCCCAGCACGCTCAGCACCACGGCCTCCAAAGTGCCTTACCAGCGCTTGTGACCCAGGTGGCAAGCCCAGGTGGGAAGGCTCTTACAGGGCTGCCTTTCCTTCCTCGGTGCCCTTCCTGCCCACCTGGGCCACGAGAAGCCCGACTACCATCCTCGCTTTCCCTTCTCACCTGCGTGGAGAGGGTCTGTGGGCCGGTGCCACCCACAGACATCTAAACAGAGAGAAGAATGAGGGTAGCCAGTGCCCTTGGAAGCCAGGCAGAAACACTGGATTCAGAAATGACCTGAAGAGGTTTTTAGTGTTTTTATCTGACAATGTGGAGACCAGGGAGCTCCTCCTAGAACTCCCAGAGAACACAGAGCAGGCACACGGGCAGGGTCGATGTTACCCTGCTTTGTACCCAGGGCCAGTGCGTATTGGAATTAGCTGGTGTCAGTCAGCAGTCCACTGCTCCCTTCCCAGGCAGCCGCTGAGGGGCCCCAGCCAGGAGGTAAGGAACAGAGTACTCAAATCAGGGAAAGAAGGGATTCTGAGGTCTTCTCAGCACCGATGGCTGAGCACCCACCCGGCCCACAGCATAAGTGCAGAGGAGGCCTTCTTTCTCTTCAGTAAATTCACTCCCATGGGTTTCTAGATGGCTGCCTTCCGTGGTAGCACAATGAGGCTGTGGTCAGGTGACACTGGCTCTGGGGGGAAAGGATGAAAAAAATAGCCTTAACCTAACCAGGTTATCAGTCAGCAAGATCTAAGGGTCAACAACCCACTGAGAAAATCATTTCTGTGAAGCAACCATCGGCAGAGGATCACCAGGAGAATAGATGTGAAGGGCGAGGAGGTGGTCTGGGTTATTCCTAAATGTTAAAAAAAAAAAAAAAAAAAGATATTACAAGAAGAATATATCTTCTTTCCTTGAAATTGAATTTCCTAGGAATTCAAAGTAGATCAGTGAGGTTTGGAGCAAGAAGGTCATAGCAGGAGGTAGACCAGCATTATTCCAGGAAGCTTCTGGGACAGCGAATCCTGGTCTGTGGGTAGTGGATGGCCCAGCTGGCATTGTGGGCTTCCAACAAGCCAAAGAGCTGACTGCTGACCCAGGCCGGGACCCTACTCCTACCAACAAGGGTCGTCTTTCTCATACTAGTCTGGTATCTCCCTGTGAACAGATAAAACGAACCACATCCCAGAGCACAACCTCAAGCGGCATTCACTGGGTTTCACACAGCCCTTGGGTCACTCATGTGTGATCCTGGGGGACAAATAACAGAGAGGATGAATGAAAAGGAAACATTCTTCCTCCGTGGGAGTTGGAAGGGGGTGAGGGACAACTCTGCCTCTGGTCGTTGGAAGGAGGCTGTAGGAGTTGCGGGTTGGACTCTGCTCCCTGCAGACACTGGAAACAGTCGCAGCCCATCCACCACCTACATCCAGGGACATGAGAAAGTCACCCTCCCACCCCCTTGCAGGGACCGTGTGGGCTCTGTGGCTCTCTAACATGGATCATCTCTCACCCCGACCCCAGTCTGGACTCCCGAGGGAACCACTGGTTCCCACGCCTTCAGAGACTGGACGCTGCTGTCACCTAGAGCTTGACTTGGGCATGAACTCAGAGCTACTTGGTAAATTCAAATCCAGGGCTTGATAAAGGGACTCGGAAGCTGTAACTCCTTGGATGAGATGATGAGGTCAGGATGAGGCTCCTGAAAGGTCAATGGGGATCCTTCTCTTCCACCAGAGAGCCACAGCCTCCTGTCCTACACCTGTAGGCCAAGACCAGCCCCTGTCTGTACCTCGTGTCCCATGAGAGGACTTTCAGAAAGAGGAGCTTCCAACTGGGGTGGTCGCTGCTCTGAAAGGCCAAATCCAGGACCATCAGAATTTGGCCTGCTAGAAACTTCTTCCTTCCTCCTGAAGTAGTTAATCAACAGGGTGGTGACAAGTGGCTGGGTGTGACAGCTCAGGCAAGCTTCCACCTCTCCAGGAGCTGCCAGATCTTGGCTCTCAAGCCACCTTGCTGCTGAATATTTAACCACATAGAAAGACGGTCCTGAGCTCTTAAATAGGAAGAGCGAGTAATAAAATATTGCATAAAATAGGCATTTTATTTTGTTCTGTTTATATTTTCTGTTGTTGTTTTTTTTTCTTTTCTACAGTAAAGAGGCACTGATTTTATTACAGGATTTTTTGGAAAGGCACTCTCTTCTGGTCACAGGGAGAGTGGCCAGTATCTGAGCACAGCTTTGAGAATCAGACTATTCCTCTGCCTTGTCCCAGACAAAACCCAAGGACAGTAGTGCTTCACTCAAGATGTTTAAGTATGCAAAATGTGTGACTCCTCTTTTCCTTTTGTAAGAGAGGGTGAAGAGCCAAGAGAGCCGTGAATGGGGGTGCTTTAGTGAAAAGCTAAAGCATTTGATATAAAGCCACCGTTCCAGGGCTTGTCCTGGGTTCAGTCTTGTCGGCCTCATCCATCATGCCCTTCCCCTGGGTCTAGGGTCTGGCCACATTCACACATGCCAGCAGGCCTTTGCTGCCCCAGGGGCAACAGCAGGGAGGTTTGCTGGACCTTTCTGACGAAGGCCATCCTTCTTGACAGAATTTGCGGTCACCAAGGCCAAAGCAAAATGGTTTCTTGTTGACTAGAAAATTCACTGACTCATTCCCCTTTGTCTTCTCTGGTCTGCAGTTACCACTGTGGAGCAAGAGAAGGAGAAACAGGGAGGAAGAGAAGAGAAGGAGCTGAGGGGATACTGGAAGTTGATTGTCCATCTTCTCAATGATGTTTCTGAGTGGCTGTCTCAGTGTCAGGTTCTATGCGAGGTACCAGCAATAGAGAAGTGAAGAAACAGTCACAGCTCTCCCAGGACTTTCACGCTGGCTGGGGAGTGAGGAAAGTCATCAGGCAGTTATGATGCAAGGGGATGTGGTAGGGGCTGAGCAGGGGCTGCAGGGGAGAGCCTACAGCAGGCACAACTCATCTTGGCTGAGGCATAAGGGCAGGCTTCCTGGAGGAAAAGACTTGTAGACTAAAGCCTGGATGACAAAGAAGAGTTGGTGAAGGACAAGGGGGATGGGGTGGGGCGTGACAAGATGGTGTGAGGTTGGGAGAATTTGTGCAAAGACCCAGAGGCAAGAGTAAGAATGTGACTTTCGGGATGCTGGTGGTGACGGGGTTGATGACTAAAACTTTACCTAAAGAGCAATGGGGAGCCACTGAGGGCATTTGATGAAGGGAGTCACTTGCTCAGATTTTGTTTCTTAGATCCCTTGGGCTGCAGTGATCTTTTGCAATGAGAGATGAAGAAAGAAAGGGAGTAGGAGGCAGGGACCAGGGCAAAGGCTGTCCTCCAGGGCTTTGGGAGCCACTGGTGGCTCTCAGTCTCATGCTCTGAGTCCAGAAGGGAGGTGGGCAGATGATGTCTGTAACAGAGGGTGGACAGTGTGGTTTAAGTCCTCACTTCTGGGCCTCACCCATTGAATTTGTATAGTAAAGTGAAGTACACTTCTCTCCAAGGGCTGCTGACACTGCTGGATGGGAAAACAGATCGGTGAGCCCACTATCAACAGGTAAATTCTGTGCCGATCTCAGTTACTGGGCACCCGCTCACTACCAGCCACAGGTGAGCATTTCAGAAGGGTCTTCTGATGACAAGAAGGGTGGCCATTGTAGCCCCAGAAATGACAGAGATTAGAAAAGAAATGAATGACAGGGAGGTTTCAGAAAGTCAAGTGTTCATGGCAAAGCAGAGAGTGTCAAGCCCCGGGGAGGTGCAGCTGGCTGGGAAGGAAGCACACTGACCTGGCGCTCAGGGGCTGGGCACGGTGTGGTCCCCACGGATCGCCTTCAGTGAAAGCTCATACCCAAGGAACATGGTGGCGCTCATGGGGAAGCCACGCACGGTGTTCACCGTGATGCCTCTGAAAAACACCTGTGGCAGGAGGCAGCGTTATCACAGAGAACTGATCCAGACCCCCTGTAGGGCCACCACTGAGGCGTGGAGGAAGGACTGGGGATGTTGGCCACTTGTCCCAGGCTGGGCTCCACAGAGCCCAAAGGACCCTGGTAAGCCAAAACCACCCCAGATGCCCCAGTCATGCCTCTGCCTTGACCCACATCACCTGTGACTGGGCTTTTCCAGCCCAGCCTTGTACACATACACTAAATACTGTGGGCAAACTGTTCATCACGGGCACCCACATACACTTGCTTAATTGCTGCTCTTTCTCATGTATATACCCACCTGCTCATGTACACACACACAGACACACACACACACACACACACACACACACACGCATGCATGCAAGCACCAAATTCTCTGGAACCTGGATATCGGAGCTCTGCACTGCCCTCACTTTGCAGTGGTAGACAGAGCACCCAGTCAGGACTGACCATTTTGACAGGGTGTCCTCCAAGGGGCAGAGTGGGGAAGAACTCAGGCCACACTTTTAAGACTGTAGATACAAACCGGAGACACAGCTTTGGCATTCAACAGCTGTGTTACTTGGGCAAATGGCGAAGTCTCTGGAACTCAACTTCCCAATAGCAAAATGGGGGTAACGATACTACTGAGCAAATATGGCTGCTGAAGGAATAAACGAGATGCTGCTTTCAAAGCTCTTGTACATGCCTGCCACCCAGCCAGCGCTCCTGGAAAGCTGACGGTCCCCTCACCCTCGTTCTCAGTAGCCGTCTTTACACAGAGGGGCCGTCAATCTTCAATTATCAGTATGAGTGCTGAGGGTATTGGCCTGTATCGATGAGCTGCTTAACTAGCCATTCATACAAGAACCCTGTATCTGTCTTCCATCCCTTCTGTTGCGAGGGCAGATGATAAGATGTCTCACTCCCTCTCTGAATCTTCCTGCCCAGTGCTGGGTAGAAGTTGATCAGTGTAATATGGTTCCAGCCCTTGGCTGGTTTAAAACCTACCAGGGAGAGATAAGCCCTATGTGGGAATTATTACAATACAGTCTAGAATGTGATGAGAATAGATCAGGGCTTTGGGGTGGGGGGAGGTGGGGAGAGCCTGTCCTTGAATGTCTTCCCTGGGAAGAGACAACACATCTAAGGGAAACACTACCCAAGCATAAATGACCCAGCAAATGTCAGGAATATGCTGTACACCTGTTAGCTGACTCCTGTATATTTACTAGGTGTAATAAATAGAGTTGGTATGGAAATTTTGAAGAAGTAGAAATCCAGCCCTTGTACATTTCCCTAGTTTTCTTGGTTGTGAGGCACTGTGGTGTGAGGGTAGGTACAGGCCACTGTCACCGGCCAGGACAGCAGGATGTCTTCCTTCAGGCGAGGCTTCTGCCCCCTAGTACTCTGTATCAGCCTGCAAGACATAGCCTGGTTGTGATGGGGAGAGAAGGGCCTTTGTGGGTTTGGGGGGAGTCTTGACCCTCACAGGGAAGGGAATTGATGGACAAGGATCCCCAAAAGGGAGCAAGTGGCTCAGCTAAACCCAGGACTGATTCAGTCAAGGGGCAAGAGGACACTTGTAGCATCTAATGTCTAACCTTTCTGGAATCCCCAGGCTCACCCAGAGTGACTATATAACAACAAGGAACTGGCCCAAGCTCCAAAAGGAAAATTCCATGCTGGGTGCTCATAAACACTCCCTTGTGGGCCTGCGCTTGGCTCTGCTCTGTGAGGCTGAGCCAGGCAGGGCCCAGATTGGAGTGTGGCCCTCCTCTCCCACAGCGCTGGGCCCTACGGGAACCACAGAACACTCCAGACATATAGACACGACCTCCTTCTAGCAGCCCTGGCCTTCTCTGCTCTGAGGCCCAGAGATGGCAAGGTGCAGACGTGCTGGCTTTTACCCTGAGCTTTTTTTTTTTTTTTTTAAAGATTTTACTTATTTATTTGACAGAGAGAGAGAGAGAAAGAGAGATCACAAGCAGGCAGAGAGGCAGGCAGAGAGAGGGGGAAGCAGGCTCACCGCTGAGCAGAGAGCCCGATGCGGGGCTTGATCCCAGGACCCCGAGATCATGACCCGAGCCGAAGGCAGAGGCTTAACCCACTAAGCCACCCAGGCACCCCTACCCTGAGCTTTTGGAACACAAAACCACCAGAGCTGGTCTCTCCTCATGGAGCCTCGATGGCTCCCCACTTCCCAGGGAAGTCTACATCCTTCCCTGGCCTGCCAAGACCCTTATGCTTGGGCCCTGCACTTTCTCTGGGAAAGCCTCTTACACCTGAAATTCTGGGCAAGTTAACAACCTGTCATTCCTCCAAGAAGCCAGCTCTCTTCCACCACTGGGTGTCTTCTGTTCTGTCTGCTGGAATGTTCCCCAGGCCTGGCTGTATCCTCTACCAGTCTTCCCAGGGCCACCCCAAGCTGGACTGTGGCCCGCTGTCTTCTGTGCACTCAGAATCTCTGCCATCACAGCACTTCTCACACTGTCCCTAACTACCCTTCATCTGTCTGAATCCCTGTTAATCTCAGTCAGGGCAGTGACAGCAGAGCTCTGTGTGGTTTACCTTGGAACCCCCAGCATCTACACATCTGAATCCCCAACATTTACACTTCAGAACCCCCAGCATCTAGTGCTTTTCTTGGCCCAGAGGGCCCTTTATAAATCTTATAAATGAATCAGTGGACGGATGAATGGATGGATGGAATGAACAAATTCCTTGTTGTGAAAAGGGAACAGTCTCTGAGCTCAAATAGTCTTGCTGAGATTAGTGGTAGTGGGGGATTCTGAGAATGGAGGGACAGCCCCGGTCCCCAGATGGCAGAACCAAATGGCAGCCAGCTCTGCTACCTCAGGAAATGGCTCTTTCTACAAATGTTCCTCTCCACCTCTCCTTATTCTCAAGTTCAGTCTCAAGCCACTGTCACAAACCCCCTCCCAACAGCCACCTCCGTGCAGCTGAAGGATACCAACTCCCTCTTCTGGCCTCCTGATCTCGATGGTAACTCTCCCAGGGTGTGCAATGGCCCAAGTAACCCATGACGAATGTCACGGCAGGCAGAGAACAGACTTCTTTTTTGATTTGGGAATGCCCCCAAAGTCCTAGACTTCTAATTCCCTTTATCAAAAAGGCTGCTTTCCTGGTAATCATGAAGTGAGTTACAAAGAACTGCCAAACTTGGCAGTGACTGGGTACAATCACCATTATTCTACTCCTTCCTCAACCTTTATCCCCACTGAGTTTTCCTTCCATAGGGAGGTGGGGACAGGTTGGCTTACCCTGCTTCAGTGTGCCATGGTACAAACAGTTTGGGAATGGATGCACCACAGAGCCAGCTGTGACAGGAACCATCTACTGGGCCCCCAGAAAAGCCATTCCTCCTGCTGCTGGGAAGGACTTGGAGACTAGCCAGCTGTACAGGGCTATGTGGGACGTTGTCGTCACGTTACTCTTTGTGTTTACATGCAAACACATATACAAACATATATAAATATAACTATCCACATATAAGCTTGCACAGTATGTGAATGTTTTTGGAATACATTAGAAGAAACTCACAACAGCGATTGCCTTTGAGAGAAGATTGAAGACCAAGGAGGGCCAATTGGCCTTATATCCTCTTTTACCTTTTGAAACTTCCTATGTTCATACATTATCTATTTTAAAACCAACTAATAAAAAAATTAAAAATGACTTGCAGTCAGTGAGTGGTTAATCCAAGCTGAATACTGCTACTTCTATCTAAAACCTGTCTCTGAATATAAACTATGGACCAATGCTACAGAGATTAAGAAATCAATCATCTGACCTCAGTTGCCTTCCAGGACCTTGTTCTTAACAGAGCACAGTAATTTTTGGATGAAATAATATAAGCAATATATTAAGACTCTGTAGACTTTATAGGATTAGGACACATTAATATTTTGACACATTAATTTGAGTAACTTGACACATTAATATTTTAATTAAGAGCAGACAAGAATATATAAAATAAAAGAGCATCCTGTTTGACTATCTCTCACATGTCCCTCTGTACCCTTCACGAACTGTGCCTCTACTAAAATAATACAAAAAACAAGTGAGGTGAGGATTCTAGGAAGGTGGCAGAATCGAAAATGCCAGCAGTCTCCTTCCTTACCTAGATAAGAGATGCACTGAAAGAATCCACCTGATGTAACTATTTTGGAATTCTGGGGTTTGTTAAAGGCTTACAACTTCCAGGAGAAGGTTTGGACAGTAAATCTGGTTAATTTCAGTCCATTTAAGCTCATAGCAAGGTAGGAGCTACCCATCCTCCACCCCCAGACCTGTGGCAGCAGGTGCACACATGCTCTAGGAGCAATCTGCACACACAGACTGTGGAAGCCAGAGTGGACAATAAGGACCCTGTCTTGCAAATATTGGAGATCTGTGTTTTGATCACTGATTGCTGTTTCTGATCACAGAAGTGCAAAGAGGAAAGTAGCCATGGTTGTTTCTTCTACCCCAACTGATGCAAGTCCTTCCTCCTCTGGCCAATGCCCCTTTCCCTTGTCATTTTTCTCTTTCCTTTTTCTCTTTTCTTTTTGGAAGCTAGATGTTAAAGACTAGGACATTCAAAAGCAACTTCATGTATGGGAAAATTGGAAAGTAACCATGCATTCCCAGAGAAAGGCTCAGAAAAGAACTGAGAGGACCTTAAGTTTACACTTTGGGCTAATCTTTGGCAAAAAGACAGCCTATGACAATCTGAAAAGTGAAACAATAAAGAAAAACAATAATAAAACACACCAGACACTGGGGAAAGAGGGGAGGAATCTGATTTCCAGAGTTAACACATAATTAAATTAAATTCATAATTAAATAAAAGTCTAATCTTCAATAAAAAAATAACAAGGCATAAAATGAAACAAGAAAGTATGGTCCATTCAAAGAAAAAATAAATCAAGAGAAACTGTCCCTGAAAAAGACCTGACAGCAGATCAAGCTGACAAAGACTTTGGAACTATCTTAAAGATGCTTGAAAACCTAAAGGAAGAGATGAAAAAACTCCAGAAAATGATACACAAACAAAATGAAAACATCAATATAAAATAAAAAAATCTAGAAAGAAAACAGACAAAAATTCTTTAGCTGAAAAGCACAGTAACTGGAATGAAAAATTCACTAAAAGGATTCAAAGGTATATTTGAGCAGGCAGAAAAAAGAATGAGCAAACTTAAAAATAAGACAATGGAAATTACTGCAGTTGAGAAAAAGAAACAAAATTGAAGAACAGTGAAAAGAGCCTAGGGGATCTGTGGAAAACTGTTAAGAAAATAAATATATGCATTATGGGAGTCCCAAAAGGAGAAGAGAGGACAGAGAATGTCTGGAGTAGTAATAGCCAAAAACTTCCCCAGTTTGGTGAAAGACAGGACTATAAACATCAAAGAAACTTAATGACTCCAAGTAAAATAAACTCAAAGAAACCCACATCAAGACACATTATAATCAAACTTTTGAAAGCAGCAAGATAGAAGGAGCACATTATAAATAATCCTCAATAGGTTTAATAGCAGATTACTTATCAGACACTTTAGAGACCAGAAGTCAACAGGCCAACATAGCCAAAGAGCTAAAAGAAAAAATGTCAGTCAAGAATCCTGTATCCAGGAAAACTATGCTTTGAGACTGAAGGTCTTATTCCCAGGTTTATTCCCAGATAAACAAAAGCCGAGGAAGTTCATCACCACTCGGTCTACCCTGCAAGAAATGCTCGAAGGGGCTGTGGAGGGTGAAACGAAACAGCACTAGAGAGTAACCTGAATCTGTATAAAGAAACAAAGAGCTCAGTAAAGGTGAATTAATGATGAGAGTGACATCAGCAACATGACAGTATAAAATGTCCTTATCTTGTCCCCAACCCAACAACATAAATTGGGCATCCATCCACTTACACAGGTCCCTCTGTGGGAGTTCTGGGATCCAGGAGCACATCCCGATGGATGCAAGAGTCCTGCCCGCCTGTGTATCAGGGACTAGGCAGAGAGACCTCAGTACTGGCAGTGGGAGCTTCAGCAGCCCATGGACTGGCTCTAGCCCATCTCAGCTGCAGTCTGGGAGCATCTGGAGAAAAAGGACTTGGCCAGCGTGTGTGTGTGTGTGTGTGTGTGTGTGTGTGTGTGTGTGTGTTAGAGAGAGAGAAAGAGAGAGAGAGAGAGAGAGGAGAGAGAGTCTGGATGTACTGGAGTGGATAGTGAGCCAAGACTGGAGGGCTGGGGATGAGGCAGCCATGTGAAGAAAGGTCCAGCGTCCAGTAGTAACATTAACACTAGTGAAACTACTAACACTAATAGTAAAGCCAAGAACAATGCCTAACTCTTTGTAAATATACTCTGTATGTAATGCACGAAGCTAAGTACTTTTTAGATGCCTAATTTAATCCTACTAGCAAATATCCCTGTTGTTCATGGTAGGGATGATTATCCTTGGAGAAATGGAGGCCCGGAGGTGAAACAACTTGCCTGGACCTCCCCCAGCTCATGAGTAGCCAGGCTGGCTTTAACTTGAGTCTGCTGACTTGAAGGGGGAAGCCAAGAAACCTGGGGAGGGCCCCCGGAGGTAGAACATGCATGACGGTTTCTCTGGAGGATACTAGGAGTTATCACAGGTGGCAATATAGACAGAGATGATTTTGTTTAGAGCCTTAGATGCCAAACTCGGAATTCCGGTTGTCTTCCTAGGACAGTTCAGACACCAGAAGGGGCTTGGATTTAGACAAGCCTTTGGGTGCAGGGAGGAGGAAGGAGAAAGGGAGCAAGGCCAAGTTGTAGGCTGCCCCATAGCTGAGACCAAAGGTGACAGGATGTGGACTCGAGTGGGGTAAGAGAGAAGAAGACAGACCAGGGGACTAGACATTGTGAGATGTGATGACCAACGTGGCTCTGGGACCCCTGACTTGGAGGATGAGGCACCAAGTATTGAGTGAGGAAGCACCTCCAAGCCTTTCCTGATGAGAAAGCAAGCTTTGGTGATAGGGAGATGTGGCTCCAGGTCCTGGTTCTTCCATGCACCAGCTGTGTGACCTCAGATAGGTTACCAGCCCTCTCTGAGCCTGTCTCTTCCACCAACCTGGGGCATGGACTAGATGAGACAAGGATCTAAGTAGGGCTTGATGTGGTAACTGCCAGAACTTCAGTTTCCTGATTCCCCTCTCTATAATCTCATATCCCCCAAAATGTCTGGCCCACCTTCCCGGGACTGACATGACCCCGTGTCACCACTGTGGGGCTTACTTTAAGACCTTCCTTCTGGTAACTCTGGGAGATACAATCCAGGACACCTTTGTATTTGTTTAAATAAACCCCGTCAGCTTGGAGTCGACTTTTCACGACATCCATAGGAGTTGCCGTCCCCCAAGAAATTGCTCCTGTAAAGAGAGAGACAAACAGGTGTGAGGGACTGACTGGTTGGGATCTGCTGGGGACGTGGCTCCCTGCCCCTTCCCATCATTTACAGGCTTAACAGGCTGCTGAGGGACGTGGAAAGAGCTCAGTCAGGACCTGTGAAGACCATCCCTGACCTTCCCTCACCAGTCACTGTGGAACTTTAGAGAAGTCTCCTCCTCTGGGCCTACAGTACCGACCTTCATGGGGTTCCTGTTAGGACGAATAAACAGATGCACACAAAGCATTGAGCACAGTGCCAGGCCCACAGCCAGCACTTTGTCCGGATGCCTTTATTGGCAGCTTTTACTGGAGAGACAAGAATAGGCCCCACCAATCCTTGGCAGTGCCTTTCCAGGGCACCAAGGGCCACAGCACAGAGCAAAGGCTGTGGCGGAAGGCTTGCAGCTCCCCAGAAACAGAAGGGACTCTGAAAACAGAGAAGCTAAACAAACACTTGCAGATAGGCTGCTTGCCAATGAAGGGCCAAGTAAGGACCGGGAAGAGCAGGAAGGTCTTTACAAATCCGGTCACTTTTCTGGATATCTGAAACTGAAGCCTCGGGACGATGTAACACTGAGTCATCCTCACTGGAGAAGCTTGGGTGCCCTAGTTTGAGCACTTCTGTGACTTTAAAGGACTCTAGGAAAACAATGCCAGGTTACTGTATAAACATGAAAATTGGCACATCCTTAGACAGGAAGAGAAAAAAAACTGATGCCAAAGTCCAGGGCAGCTGGTTTGCAAAGTTTAGTAATTGCTGTCCAGAGACTCGCAAATGCTGCCTTAGCCTGTCCTGGACCCACTGCCCATCCCAGCCTCCAGCCACCATGGCCTCCTGCCCATGATCCTCTGGGAATCCTCTGCACCTCCCTTCCCTCTTGCCTCCTGCCGGATAATGGGGCTGCTTCCCCTGGAGTCTGTCCATGTACTCCCTGGCATACTCTCCTGTTCCTCAGCCCATGGGCAAGGGCAATACAAAATGTAGTCTACCTACCAGGCCACTCAAACCTGCTCTCACCAGAATCAAGAATGGTTGGGGCCTTGTCCTCTCAGCCAGAGAGTGCTTAGTAAGCACTTACTAGGATCTGGCAGAGGCCGGACCTCACACACATGAGGGCAGAGGGTAGACACTGGTGTTTGGCAGGCAAGAAATGGGCTTTGTTATGTGTTTGCTGAGTTTTGAGCATAGCTAATGATGATGATATGGGGGCGGGGGAAGTGGAGGAGGAATATCAATTTTCTTCTTTCCAGAAGATCTTTCCCATCAATATCACACATGCTGTGTTATCAGTCTTTTTAAAAAGCATCCCTCTCTTGATTTCCCTACCTTTCTCTGGAGATAGCTGCATACCACTCTCCCATCACAGCACAGCTAAACCCCTCAGACATGTTGTATGTCCTCAGACTGTCCAATTTCTTTCATCCCATTGTCTCCTAGTCCCACTTCAGTTGGGTGTTTCCACCCCTCTCTTCACCAAAATGGGTCTTGTCACAGTCCCTGACAACCTACCTATTGCTAAATCCAGGCAGCAAGTATAGCAAGTGCAAAGGCCCTGAGGTGGGGAGAAGCCAGGCATGGTCAGGGTGAAGCAAGGAGACCAGTCTGGCTAGAGCAGAGCAAGCAAGGGGAGAGGAGCAGAAAAAGACTGCAGAAGGGTAACAGGCAGCTGGATCATAAAGGGACTGAAAACCACTGTAAGAACACTGATTTTTATGCAAAACGAAGTGGAGATACTGTGTGGTTTCTGAATAGGGAGGGTGAGTAACCAGCCCATGGTCACCAAATGAGTAAGAGAGGATTTGAACTGGGATCTTGCTGACTGCAGAGTCCCTGCTATGCTGTCTTAATTAGCTGTGTGCCCTTGGGTTGGTCACTTAATCTCTCTGAATCTCAATTTTCTCATCTGAAAAATGGGAAGACTGATTCTTCCCTTAAAGAGTTAATGAAATTCTCACTTTAGAAAGGGTTTGCTGTGTCAACATTCAAAAACGGTGAACCCCAACAACAGATTTCCTCTTCAAAGCTCAGTAATACCTAACATAGAAGAAAGGGTCAGAGTACATCTTCTGACTGGAAGTTCCACAATCCTGAATAGGAACTTGCCATTCCCACAGATTCAGAGGAAAGGAGAGGCAAAAAAGAGGGAAAGGCATTCCCAGGCTTTCCTCTGTCTGGCTTGGTCTGGCACATAGTAGGTGCTGAATAAAGAATTGTTGGATGAGTGGCTAGATGATTTCTGCCCTTTCCTGGGCTGAGAAGGGCATGATAGGCCTCCCAGTCATCCCAGGACAAGGGTCAGCCCAGGGACAGGGGTCAGTATGGCTGTCCTTACCTGCCATGCCACCGGCCAGCCACATGGCACAGGGGCTGGGGCCCGTGCAGGCCTCAGGTGTGATCCACTCATTCAGGAACACATAGGGGATGAAGTAGAGGCAGTAGCCTGGGACATCCCTCAGCAGCATGGCACCAACGCCCCGGTACATCCCTGCCAGGCCCTCAGTCCTCACGATGGTTGCGATGCAATGCACAGGTCCCTGGTAAATGGGCTGCACCCCAAGAGCCACTGCCCTGGGTTTCAAACCAAGGTTGGCTGCAAAGACAGGGAGGAGAAGATTAAAAGTGACCCAGGGGGCAAAAGACTGGCCCATCTCCAGCGCTGGAGCTAGCCTGGCCCAACGACAATTTTCACTCCCATGCCCTGTTGGATTTTACCAAAGCTTCTGACCCTAGCAGTTCATACCGAGATTCTCAAGCCCCAGCAGGAAGGCCAACATGTGCAGCCAGCTGTACAGCCAGACTGGAGACTATGCCTGCTGGGTGAGAAAGCACCAGGTGCCTGAAGGGCTTTTGGTCAACCACCGCTATGTCTTTGTAAGCAGCAGTGACTGCGGAATGTCCAAGATCAAAGATGAACAAGCTGTACCAAACTCTTCCCTGAAGCAGAGGTTGCAAAATCAATGTACTCTGTATGTGTATGTGCATGTGTGTACTTGTGCACGGTGTGGCTAAAAAAACATATGAATATCTTCTCCCGTTCTGTCAGTTGTGTAAGGGCTAGTATCCAAAATCCATAAAGAATGTATCAAACTCAACACCCAAAGGACAAATAATCCAATCAAAAAATGGACAGAAGACATGAATAGATACTTTTGCAAAGAAAACATCCAAATGACCAACAAACACATGAAAAAGTGTTCAACATCACTAGGCATCAGGGAAATACAAATCAAAACCACAATGAGATACCCCCTCACACCAGTCAGAATGGCTGAAATTAACCAGTCAGGAAACGACAGATGCTGGCGAGGATGCGGAGAAAAGGGAACCCTCCTACACTGTTGGTGGGAATGCAAGCTGGTGCATCCACTCTGGAAAACAACATGGAGGTTCCTCAAAAAGTTGAAAATAGAACTACCCTATGACCCAGCAATTGCACTACTGGGTATTTACACTAAAGATACAAATGTAGTGATCCGAAGGGACACGTGCACCGAATGTTTATAGCAGCAATGTTCACAATAGCCAAACTACAGAAAGAACCTAGATGTCCATCAACAGATGAAAGGATAAAGACGATGTGGTATATGTATATTCCATATACAATGGAATACTACACAGCCATCAAAAGAAATGAAACATTTGCGACAACATGGATGGAACTAGAGGGTATTATGCTGAATGAAATAAGTCAATCAGAGAAAGACAATTATCATATGATCTCTCTGATACGAGGAAATGAGAGGCAGGGCAGGGGGGTTTTGGGGGGTAGGGAGGGAAAAAATGAAACAAGGTAGGATCGTGAGGGAGACAAACCATAAGAGACTCTTAATCTCACGGAACAGACTGAGGGTTGCGGGGGTGGTGGTGGGGTAGGGATGGGGTGGTGGAGTGATGGACATTGGGGAGGGTATGTGCTATGGTGAGTGTTGTGGAATGTATAAGACTGATGATTCACAGACCTGTGCCCCTGGGGCAAATAATACATTACATGTTAACAAAAAAAAAAAAAAAAAAAAAAAGCATATGAGATTTGGACCCAGACTGTTCTGGTTCCAAATCCAAAACCCACTACTTAATAACTTCTCAACCTTGGTAGGCCACATTTTTCAGCCTTTGGTTCCTTAACTTTAAAAAGACAATAGGCCAGGAGCATCTGGGTGGCTCTGTGGGTTAAGCCTCTGCCTCCGTCTCAGGTCATGATCTCAGGGTCCTGAGATCAAGCCCCACATCGGGCTCTCTGCTCCACGGGGAGCCTGCTCTCCCCTCTCTCTCTGCCTGCCTCTCTGCCTACTTGTGATCTCTCTCTCTGTCAAATAGGTAAATAAAATCTTAAAAAGAAAAAAAAAGATAATGGGCCAACTACTTATTGCATACAAAGTTGCTAAGAAAGTAGATCTTAAAAGTTCTCTACACACACACACACACACACACAGGGTAACTATAGGATATGACTAATGTGTTAACTAACCTTACCTTGGTAACCACTTCACAATACACATGCATATTAAATAATCAAGTTGTATACCTTAAACTTACACAATGTTATATGTCAATCATTTCTTAATAAAGCAGCAAACATTTCTAAAGGAAAAAGAAGAGAACAGGTCAGTATGCATAAGGCAATATTATAAAGTGCTGAGCATGGTACTAGGAACACTGTAAGGGGAGAATAATTTACCCACAGATCATTACTGAGACTGAGATGATTGGCATGAATTGGGAGGATACATGGGCTGGAGGGCTGGACATGCTGTCCCTCCAGCATTGGCTAGCAAGCAGTGACTCTGTCTCTTCCTTTTAATCATTCCACCAGGCTCCCGTCTCCTTCTCTGATGCTCATCTCCCCAGCTGTGGACGCTTTATCTCAGCTTTGACTCCTGACCAGAGAGGCCCCCCAGTCCCAGGGCTGATGCAGTGCACTCTTATTTTCAACACTCCGTTCTTGAGGAACCAACATGGTACGGCCAGGAAAGAAACAGAACGAAGCTTCCCTGTGACACACACCTACGTTACGACCTGGGTTTAGTTCCCTGTATGTGGCATCTCACTTTGGTTTTGCACATGCTGACAAAGAGGCAATAACTTTCATTACTGAACAGCTGAATTTCCAAGTTTCCCAAACAGTCCCATCCTTATCCGATGAAAGGTTAGGAGCAAAGATTCAGGTTCATGATTCTATAGTCCAAACTGAAGATCTGAGAGTCAAGTACAACCTGTCTTTCTGCTCATCCCAGAAGGAGGTAAGGTAGAGGGGGAGATTCCTATTTGCCTGGGAAGTGTGCTTGGACAAATGAATCCTGTATTTCCTTTTTGTGCAAGGGGAAGAGACTAATTACAGACTTGTGCATTCAGCCAACTACAGCATGGGCAGGAGGCTGAGTCCTGTTCACTGCCACAGCAGATCCCCCAGGAAGGGAGCAAGTGTGGTGGCCACCCCTGGGGGCAAAGGGCCTCTGAGCTCAGAGCAAGATCAGACACTGTGGTCTTTGAAAGCCCACTGAGATATTTTTGCCCACCCCTTCCTTTCCCAAATCCACTATGATGCTGCCAGTGTCACCCTGGGAAATTCTGGGATGAAACAGAATAGATGTAATTGTCCCAACATCTCAACTTTACCTGGGTCATGCTCATGTCCAAGTAGCACTGACCTGACCCAAGAGTCAAGGTTTTCATGAATCAACTACCGGTAGGATGTGGCTCTCAGAAGTTACTGATTGAAGGAGAGTGTCCTGATAATATTCTGCTTATGTAGAGGTACAAATGTGGAAAAAATACTTGCCCAACCTCCAACATGCCTTATTAACAAAACACCTGTACTTTTTTCCCTTTTCTTCCTAGGATAAGCAATAAGGAACTTCTCTGATATTCTCCCATGTTTGTTATATAAGCAATCTAGTTTTTACTGCTTAATAATTCTCCATTTATGGCTATTAAAGCAATATAATTGTCATGGGGATTGCCATCCTCTGGAATACTAACATGAGTCTAACTGGCAGCCAGCGCCTTCTGAACACAAAGCCACTGGAACTCCTTCTAGCTCCCTCATCCCCAGCGTTAAAGTGCGCGCGCGCGCGCGCACACACACACACACACACACACACACACACACACACTTATTTGGAAATAATTTCCAGCTTGCAAAAAAGGGCAAAAAAGAAAACTTAATACAGAGAACACCCTTATACATCCTTTCCCTGGATTCGCCTAATGTTAACATTTTACCTCATTTGTTTTATGGTTTGAGTGCTCTCTCTCTCTCTCTCTCTCTCTCCCCTCTCCCTTCTCACTGAACAGATGTCCCTGTCCCAGTGCATAAACTTTGCCTGGGCTGTGTTCATCTCCAAGATCAGTGACCTGACCCGGAATCAAGGGTTTCATGAATGAGGTATGGGTATGACCTGGCTTTCAGGAGTTACTGATAAGAAAGATCCTCATAAAAATCTTCCTTGTGTGGAGGTGCCAATGTTGGAAAAACATCTGGTAAACTCTGAACTGGCTTTGTCAACAAGACCCAAACTTGCACTTTTTTTTTTTAAATCCTTTTCCCCAAAGTAAGCAATAAGGAAATTCTCTGTATACACATGCATATCTTTTTCACACATATGTACATAACATTATTTTCTGAACCATTTCAGGGTTAGATACTGAATGGTTCTTTACCCCTAAATCCTTCAGTAATTGTTGCCTAACAATAGGGATACTGCCTTAAATGCCAGAGTAGTTATCAGTCTCATAATATATGTTGATAATACCTTTACCTAATGTACTAGCTATACTCAAGTTACCACTTGATCTTGTACTGACCTGTTCGGCATTCCTCCCTTCACTAGTGCAGGATCTAGTCCAGCCATTTACTGCACTTAGTCGTCATGATTCTTCGGGTTCCTTTATTTATTTTTGTTTTTAGTAAGCACCACACTCAACCTGGGGCTGGAACTCATGACCCCAAGATCAAGGGTCACACTCTGCCGAGTGAGCCAGCCAGGTGCCCCTAGTTCCTTTAATCTGGATCATTTCTACAGCTTTTCTTTCTTTTTAACGACACCAGCATTTTTTATTAGTGTGCTGCCTCCCTTCTTATGAATAAAACCTTCCTCATTTGCGGTTTGATGTTTCCTTGTTATCACATTGAGATGATGCATTCTTGGCTGAACTTCCTCCCCATTCTCACCTCTCCTCCCATGAAGACTGATGACTCTCAGGAGCCCCTGGTCTTCTCTGGCCTCCTGTCCTAGTTTTTATTAGTTTCCTTTTTCAATTTGGATATAATTTACATTCAATAAAAGGTGTAGCTTGTAGGTACACATTTGATGAGTTCTGACAACTGCATGCACCTGGGTTACCACACCCTCCTGAGAAAACGACATCTTATACTTGAAGCAACCTGTTTGATCACAGCCCACTAAGACACAGTGAAGATTCCAAGCCTACCTACCCTCTCCTGATTGTTTTTGAAGGTACAGGAACTCTGTGACATCAATGATGTGTCACTCAGTGAGAAACAAATCTTCCAGCTAGTGGATGGTTGTTACTGGCCCATCTGCATTAGCAATAGTGGCATGGACTGTTCATATGGGACCACAAAGCAGA